TTAACCAATGAATGCAAGAGTTGATCACATCATCTTAGATAGTTAAAGGGGAGGTATCTGTCATTCACCTATTGCTCTTCGAATCTCTTCATTTTCCAGAACAAGTATTTAGAAGGGTAAGCAGGTCTTTTTTTTATTTCAATTCTCCAAATATATCCCAATGGTACTGTGTACTAACTAGTAAAATTTACCATTTCAAAGAATGTAGATACAATCTGGGTCATTCTAATGTAGAAAGGACTTCTAACTTGTGATGAAAGAGTAATTATTTTCACTAGGCTTGAGTCTTTGAATAATTGTTAGCAGAAAATACAAGTTTGGTGATGATATCTCTCATAGTTTAGCTGGTAGACTTCAGAGTTTACTTGGACTGTACAGGAAGTTAAGTGTACTCTCAAGTTAAATTTATTTTGCTGCTATCTTTGTTTCTCATGTTGTGATGTTTATGTTTACTTTATCGTGGTTGCGACTGATGAACGCATCTAGTGAAATTGTATCAGCTTCTTTTCCTTTTGATTTTATATTTTGATTGGGATGTTTTGTTGCTCACTGGCATTGCTTTTTTGTTAGGAATATGAAGTGAAAATGAAAGAAAAAGGTGAAGAGCCAGTAATGTTTAGGTAACAGACGGCCTCTTGTTTATCATTAATGCTGTTAGAAATGGCCCTTTCTCCTTGGTACTTTTACATGCTTCTTTTCTTGCTTTCTCTGCAGTCACCTGGGCCCCCCTCGAAGGCGTACGGCTGCAGAAGAGGAAGAAAGGATCAAAGACCCTAAACCTGAAGTAAGATCTTACTTCACTCTTCTTTTTTTTTTTACCCCCTCCCCCGGGAGCTCCCACCTTTTTGCTCCCTTGGTGACTCGAACTCACAACCTTAAGGTTGGAAGTGAGGGGTGCTTACCATCAGCAACTCTCTTTTGTCTATCGTACTTCACTCTTATTTTTTATGGAAGCTGTTTTTGCTGATCCATGAACAACATGGCCTATGTGGATGCAGGACTCCGTTTATTATCACCCTACACTGAATCCTACTGGAGCTCCTCCTCCTGGAAAACCTCCCATGTTTAAATCATCAATAGGTATCTATAGTTCTTTTTCTCATCTTAATTTCATATTGTTCTCTCTCTCTCAACGCCCTCTCCCCAGCTCTGATAGCTCCTGCTTCAAACTACAGGACCTAGAATACCATCATCAGCTGCATCATCGTCAATGTCAGATGCAGAAGATGGCACTTTATCAGCTCTTCCGCCACCGCCACCGCCACCTCCATTGCCCCCAACTGGTGATGTAGATTCTGTAGATGGGTCTGCGATTCCTGCATCTTTACCTTTACCTCCTCCACCACCTATGCCCCCAAAGCCTGCAATGACAGACATGGGTGCTTCATTGCCATTACCTCCTTTGCCCCCACCGCCTCCTGGCCCCCCACCAAAGGAACTGATCTCTGGCCATCTTCCACTTCCTCCACCTCCTCCCCGACCTCTTCATCAATCTGCTCAACTTCCTCATTCTGGCATAGGTGGAAATGAAAGGGATAAAAATCTTTCTGAACTGGATGAGAGGTCCGCAACAGAGCAAAATCAGGTATACTTCTTATTAATAAGATATTTGGGACATTTGTATAAATGATTTATGTACGGTTTCTAGTCCTTGGCCCTAAAGTTATTCACGATCTTGTTAACTTTTCAGGCCTCATCCATGCTTCCCCCACCACCTCCTCCACCAGGGTTGCCATTGAAGTCAGATGGCATGCCTGCTGACTCTGATGCTAAAGTTTTGGAAACAAAAGATCATCTTAAGTTGCCTCCACCACCTCCACGGCACCCTTCAGGTCTTGGACCTGCCATGGTCCCAACTTTTCAGCCTGATGTATTACCTCCTGGAATATCTCGGTTCCCTCCACCCCCGCCTCCAACTGATATGCGGCCACCACCTGGAATTGCTATCCAGCCTGCTCCTCCTGGAATGATGGTCCCTCTCTTGCCAAGACCACCTTTTGGACCTCCACTAATGATGAGACCACCGCTTCCACCTGGTCCACCTCCTTTTCAACAGGATGGTGCTAGACTGCTTGCTCCTCAAAAGCCATCATATGTCAAATCAGCTGCTTCAACAGTTGTTAAGAGGCCTCTAGCTCAGCATACACCAGAACTTACATCAATGGTGAGTGATCTTCCTTTATTTTTACTACCTAATTGTTGTCCTCCTGCACTTATTTACATCAACTGTTAAGTATTCTTTAGCATCATTTCAATGCAAACCTAATATATTAGATTGGAGTGTTATCCCCATCCAAATTGTGGATGAAATCAAGGGGATTATGGGCAAGTTCAAATCCTTGTCCAAAGTTTGCTAGGAGGGTTAAGCACTGTATAGCATGCTAGTTATATACTTTAATTGTTTGGCCTAATATTTTGCAGAAGTTTGTACCAAAACATCCCTGGTCAAGTTTAAATTTCGTAGGTGCAAATTTCTGTAACACTAGGCTCTTATTAATTTTTTCACCCTACAACGCCTTGAAGATGTATTTTTTTTCACCAGCAAAAGTCAAATAAAAAACATCAGAAAATAGAAAAAAATAAATCAAAAGATGGAACTATGAAGTAGAAAATAATGCAATTAAAAAAAAGAAGAATTGTACAACCACAGTACAGAAAGTGACAAAAGTGAACACGAAAAGAAAACAGCCAAAAAATGAAAATAAAGAACTCAAGAAAGAAAAAGATGTAAACCAAAGTGGATTGGATGGAGGTGTGTGTTGTCATCAGGAGGCTAAAGAGGACACATCAGGGTTCGAGGTGAGGATGTATCCACTTTATTCATTTAAAATTAAAAAATTGTTGAAGAAACTACAGATGCTTTGCGGGAAAGGCTAAGAGTCTGAAACTGTATTTAAGCCAGAGTAGAGGTGTTTGCATCAATTAGCTATCACGAATGCATGCAAAGTAAATGATATTTGCTAGACCTCTTGGTTGCAACTCTTCAGGAATAGACATGGAGAGATCTCTATACACTTCTTTTACCTTTCTAGCGTTATCTTAGTGCTGGTGTTGGTTGATGAATAAAACTTTTTGAGGGTTATGCACCTTAATAATCTACTGGGTGCCTAAAAAGATCATTGTCTTGTTGAACCTTTTATCTTATTTTTCTATCCAAAACAATGAAGTAGTGATGAGAATTTTCATGAACACATATAAACCACCTTTATACTGGGATCTGGACTTGTTCACATTTGATTCAACACATCAGTTGTTGCTTTCCTGTAGGTTCCTGCATCTGTGCGTGTGAGGAGAGAATCTGCGCTCCCAAAACCCAAGCCGAAGTCATCTACTGCGGTTACAATCAACCAGCCTGCAGTAACTCCGCCTGTTGTCAAGCATGAATCTACAAGCGCGCCTGCACCAAAACCTCAAAGCATTGATGACTCATATACAGCATTCTTGGAGGACATGAAAGCTCTTGGTGCTCTCGAAGGATGAAGTAGCATCAAATAGGAGAAAGGAAGAGGATGGCATGCAGAGGAAACAAGTGGCCATTGACAATCTGATGAGTCTGATATCTCTGTGACCATGTCTTGTGCTACTTGAGTGTCCACATCTTTATGGTGCTTTGATGTATCGACCATCTCATTCTTTCTTCGTGTGTATGATCTATGATTCATCTGTATTCTGATTTTATCTTCCTCAACATTTTGTCGCCTCTAATGAGCAGCTGATATGCGTTAGTCCAGAGGAAGTAGGACAACATATTGTAAGATGGATTATTTCAAGGAACTTTCTTTTGGCTCTGCTTCCATTGTTTTTTTTTCTTCCCATCATATAACAAATTGACATTGATTTTGAAAAAAAAAAAAACATTTTTATAATAAACATCCGTAGAGTAGGAGAATTTTAATTTTAGCAGCTAAGTTTGGTTGGCTACTTGAACTTTCACCTTGTTAGTGAGAGTTTGATTTCCCATTTTGTAATTCAATATGTTTTCTAACGTAAAATTCTTGGTTTCCATCCGGGGTTTGGTATCCATATTATAGCTCCTATTCGGAAAGCGCTCCCTAGGATTCTTTTCAAGGTTTGAACTTCGAGTTCCGTATCACAATGTCATTTGAATTCTGATGGCAATTCTATTAATTTACGAGAACCATATTTTTGTGACCTTGGTAGTCAAATTAGTTTGTATGAGTACTCGATAAATAAATTTAAAGAAAAAAACGAATCTGAACAAAAATTAATATATTCCTATTTGACTTTCTTGTCATTGGCATGGTCTCTGTGCAGAAATGAAACCAATTTGGACAAGAATGTTTACTTCAGCTCTTACGTCAATTCTACTCCAAGATCACTATTGTTGCATATTTGTCTCTCTCGAATCCTAACCAAAAAGGTGAAAGTTTGGGTACTCAACCAACTTATCTACTAAAATTTCCAAATTGTGTCTTTTTTGTGTGTTTATTTTTTTAATATTTTGACTCCTAATAAAAATTCTTACTCCGCAACTGCGCGTTCAATTATCCTCTTGATTATATAGAGTTATGAACTATATCTAGACTTTAGAGCCAATCTTGTGCAATCAATGGGGACAAGAAACCAACCAAGATCCATCCAGCCTGTCTTTTGTCAAACAAATTCAGTGTTTTCAGGTCTGCCATCCAATATATTATTCTAGTTGTAAATCCATCCAATATTTAATTCTGCTTCTATTTATAACAAACGCTATAGCATGTAAAGTCAACTGCTTGGTAATGGGGCCTCTCATTTCTACGTGCACATTTTGTCAAATGACCCTTGTGATTAAGAGAAAATGACAGATTGATATGGAAGAGAACTAAATATTTTAATATACTGGTGGTATTTTTAAATTTGCAAATGGATTGATGGGAAGATTGGACCAATAACACAGAAGTTGGTAGGTGTGTCCAAAAGTTTGAAGCACAAAAAGTTGTCATTTTTATAGATGATCTTACTTTTGTCTCTGCAGTCAGTCTGCTTCCTGTGTTGAAAAGACTCTGATGTAACTGCAAATATAACTTCTTCTTTTAGCAATGGGAAGGAGTCATTTTGTCATATTCATCATTCTTTTGAATTTTCTGCAGATTCTTGATCCTTCTTTTTCACTTCCCTTGTGTACTGATTCAAGTAAGCTTCATTCAGTCCATTAGAAGTTCTATCTTGAAAAACTTCTTCTTTGCAGTTATTTATTGAATGAGTATATCTGGTTTTTCGAATTTTATATCTGAACTATCAGTAAATGTTTATCGACACACACCTCAACTATCAGTTGTTCCCTTTTCCTACCTGAACGATGGTGATATTTGAGGTTGGAAAAGGGAACAACTGATAGTTGAGGTATGTTTCGATAAACATTTGGTGATAGTTCCGGTAGGGAACTCGAAAAAAGGATACCTGATGTATGTTTTTGACCATTAACTCTTATCTATTCTGTTTTTTCAATTTGATAATGATTGGTGCTAGTTCATGTGTTACAGGGGCTCCTTTTCAGCAAAAGACTCCTCTAGCATTCTGTTCTTATAATGGAATCTCATGCTGCAACTCCACTGATGATAAACAACTTCAGACTCAGTTCAATGCTATGAACATTTCTGATCCTGGATGTGCTTCTCTTGTAAAATCTGTCATCTGTGCGGTAAGAAGATACTCTTGTAGTTTCTTGCTCTTTCGATTTCTGTTACTCCTATTTATTGTTACTTGTACTTTGATTATCGTATTAGTATTTTGTTGTAGTTAGTGTTTCTTTTTCAGAATGTTTTGCCATGCCATATTGAGTATTTTGCCTTGTTTTTTTCACTCCTATTATTTTCTTGAACCGAGGGTCTATTGGAAATAGTCTCTCTGTCTCCCCAGGTAGGAGTAAGTTCTACGTACACACTGCCATTGATTTCCTATTTTTGTTTTCTTGCTATATGAAGATTTAACTATGAGGTTTAACTCTAGCATTTTTGTATAAAGAACCTATATTATCACAACAACTAGTCCACTTCTAATTATTTCAGCAACCTTTATTGGATTAAACCAGAAATCTTTCATTCCCCTTTAAACTCTTTCTTGTTTGTGAAGCTCAAAATGATCTATTTACTCTTAATAATCTGCTTCATGGTATCTCTTTTAGGTATCTTTACTAATTACTAGTATCCGGATAGTATAAGTTTTAAGGATTTAACTTTTGATATCCATTTTTTCACCTTTTGCAGAAGTGTGATAAATTTTCAGCAGAGCTGTTCAGAACTGATTCTGTTCCTCGACAACTTCCTATCTTGTGCAACTCCACAACTTCAGAAAATTCAACCAAAAGTAGCCAAACTAAGAATGACTTTTGCTCTAAAATATGGACTACATGTCAAAATGTGTCTATCATAAGTTCTCCTTTTGCTGCTTCTATCAAGTCCAATTCCACAAAGTTGACAGATCTATGGAAATCACAAATTGATTTCTGTAATGTGTTTGGTGGAGCTTCTGGTGATGGATCAGTATGCTTCGCTGGAGAACCTGTCAGCTTAAATACCACCACGCCTATAAGTCCTCCAGGCGGTTTGTGCCTTGAGAAAATTGGAAATGGTAGTTACATCAATATGGTTGCTCATCCTGATGGCTCTAGTCGTGCTTTCTTCTCAAATCAGCAAGGGAAAATATGGTTGGCTACTATTCCAGAAGTCGATTCAGGAGAGCTGTTAGATGTTGATGACTCTAATCCTTTCTTGGACCTAACAGATGAAGTTCATTTTGACACTGAACTGGGAATGATGGGGATTGCATTTCATCCAAAGTTCTCACAAAACGGGCGATTCTTTGTTTCATTTAATTGTGATAAGCAAGCATGGCCTGGATGTGGAGGAAGATGTTCTTGTAACTCAGATGTGGACTGTGATCCATCAAAACTACCTAGTGATAGCGGCTCCCAACCATGCCAATATCAAGCTGTGATAGCAGAATTTACTGCTAGTGGATCTCAGCCTACACAGGTACTTTTGAGAGCCTAATGGATTTTTTTTTATCTCACTTTGTTTAGCTCTGAATGATAATAAATGAATCTCAACTTTCCAGGCAAAATCTGCCAGCCCAAAAGAAGTCAGAAGGATATTCACCATGGGCCTTCCATTTACAGGTCATCACGGAGGCCAGATACTTTTTGGACCGAGAGATGGATATTTGTACTTCATGATGGGCGATGGCGGAGGTATAGGTGATCCTTACAATTTTTCCCAAAACAAGAAGTCATTGCTGGGAAAGATTATCAGGCTTGATATTGATGGCACATCCAGTAAGTCACTACTCAGTTCTATATATGCTATTATCGATGATCTTGTTACTACTAAGCTACCTCAACAGGATGTTTAGGGAAAAAAAGATACTAAGAGCAATCTGAATCTTCATAATCCTTGCTATATATCAACCAGAAAGTGAAATATCCTTGTCTTAATTATCTCAGCTAAGTTAGAAGTTTATCAAACTCATGACCAACAAATCCATTATCCTTTTCTTACTTTGGAAAATAGATTGGCTGCTTAATTGTCTACTGGAAAGACAAGTAGAACTTAGTAGAAGATAACTATGTGCTTTTTGAGGATGCGGAAATTTCTTCTTACTATTTTTCTTCTCATTTTTTGCTTTGCCTCACTTTCAGTTTCTCTGCATTGGTCATTTTTTCCAGGCATTCTCATCTAAACTTTAGTCCTTTTCATCATTGATCTCAAAAATAGAGAAGTGTTCAACTTTCTTGTATGTTTAAGATTTCACTACTTTATTCTACTGATCTATCAGTTCTTGCCCCTTACTTTGCATCTGGTGCCTGTTCCCTTAGGTGTAGAAGAGATCACGAAGCTCGGTTTATGGGGAAACTACTCTATACCAAAGGATAATCCTTACACTGAAGATAAAGAGTTGCAGCCTGAAATATGGGCTCTAGGAATGCGAAATCCTTGGCGCTGCAGTTTTGATTCTGCTAGACCATCTTACTTCATGTGTGCTGATGTAGGACAGGTAAAGTACATGTCTTTTACTCTCCAAGAATGTAATCTTTTAAATCTTGTTTCAAACAGCTGTATGATGGCATTGTGCTCATAAGCATTTTATGATTGTTTCATAGGATAAATTTGAAGAGGTGAATATAATCAGCAAGGGTGGTAACTATGGCTGGAGCGAGTATGAGGGTCCTTACCTTTACACTCCTTCAAAATCACCCGGAGGAAATAAATCTATGAGCTCCATAAACCCCATTTTCCCAGTCATGGGATATAACCATTCTGATGTGAACAAGAATGGAGGGTCAGCATCAATTACTGGTGGATACTTCTATAGGTCCATGACTGATCCCTGCATGCATGGAAGGTGAGCCCTTTTGAATATATCCTTTTGTGGTGTTAGAATGTCTCACATTTATTGAGGGAGTAGGTTGTTTTCTCCTTATATGGACTTGAACAATCCTCGTCTCATAAACTAGCTCTTGAGATTGAGTTAGACTCAAGGTACATACTGTTAACATGATATCAAAGCTAGACTCATTCCTAATCTCAAGTTATCCAATTTGAGCTTGCATTCTATATTGTCCACGCTTCAAATATCAAGTCTTGCGTGTGTGGGTATCAGAATGTCCCACACTGGTTGATATAGTGGGTTGTTACCTCTTTATTGGTATTAGGCACTCCTCATCTCTGACCTAGATTTAGAGATAAGTTGTTCTATATACCGTTAGTCCAAGGAAACTAAGGAATTTTCATACCATCATGTCACCTTTACATGTTATTAGTAGGTAATCTATCACATTTTACGGAGACTTAACTATGGATATCATTTGAGTGACATGATAATGTAAAGAAATCTTCACACCACAGTGTATGTAACTTAAACTCTTTCGAAATTGAGTTAGGCCAAAGTTCATTTTCTTAAACTATTGTAATGACAGGTGAAATTTTGCAGGTATCTTTTTTCTGATCTGTATGCAGGTTTCATGTGGGCAGGCACTGAAAATCCAGAGGACAGTGGAACATTTAACACTAGTCAAATTTCTTTCAACTGTGCTCAGAAATCACCAATAGATTGTACTTTTGTTCCTGGAAGCTCAGTTCCAGCTTTAGGCTACATATTTTCATATGGTGAGGATAACAACAAGGACATGTATGTTCTTGCAAGTAGTGGAGTTTACAGAGTTGTTCGTCCGAGTCGTTGTAAATACACTTGTGCAAAGGAAAATTCTTCTGCTGTTGATGATGATATCCCATCTAGTCCTCCTGCTGCTTCCCCTCCTTCAGCAGCAACCATGTTAACAGGTTCATACAGTAACTTTGTAGTCATTTTAATGTCATTTATGTTGATCCTGGCTTGTTGGTTCTAATGTATAGAGAGATACATAGGCTTTTCAATTGACAAGTCATGTACAATAAAGTTATTCTTTTCTCTTTTTGGAGTTGTATCAGATGTAACATATCAATTTCTCTTTTATGGTACAGTGTTCAAACATCATCAGTAGCGTAGAATTCCCTCCCCTTTCCCCCCACTTTCTGAGATACTAACTATTAGTTAGACGCTGACCATATGAGAAATCAACCTTGTTTTATCACGTAAATTCTAATTTATCACCAGTCCAAGGGGATTCTTTAATGAATGAATTCTCTATCAAAATATTCTTTATATATATATGTGTAAAAAATATCTTGTAAATTGGTTGGTGGGGAAAAATACAAAAGTAAATGTCAACTTATGGACAATTTCTGATTCGGACCCACTTGCAAGACGTATTGTAACAATAGACCAACACAGCTTGTGAAAAATCCTGCTACGTCCACTGTTTGGAACTACCAAGAAACTATTTGGACAACTTGACTATTATACAGCTATTACATCTTTGATGGTCAACCTTAAAATGCTATTTAGGAAAAGGAAATTTGTCAATAGAGAATTGAACTGTCATTTTCCCTTAATATCTTTGGCATACCCAAGAATCTCCTTTTCTATTCATTTTGCTGCTGCTAAGATCTAACAGTTTGTTCATATTTCAAAAATCAACATAGCATGTCAAGTGTCAACTTCCCCACACAGCCCAACTTTTATGTTTGACCACAGTACTTCATGTTGAATACTTACATTGAATTAGTCAACCTCATACCTTAAAATACAAACCACAAGACATTAAAACCAGATCATATTTGAAACTTAATGGAATCTCAAATTTGTTTCTTTCTGCTGCTGTTAGTGTATGATAAGTTACATACAAACGTATGTAGTGATATTCTCAATTGCACATTTATGTACTTGCTTTAAAAAGTATGTTATAAAAAAAATTATAAAGACAGGGAAGGTAGAGAAAGCAATAAATGAAATTTCCAAGGCACCTAAGTAGCCCCTATCATATAAAAAACAATGTATTCCAGAGAATATACAGATCATGGTATATTAAAGTGCAAAACTTGTCTATCCTAGTTCCTGGGACTGTTTTTCAGATTCCATTCGGACTTCAAATCCAAATTGTCATCTCATGTTACAGCATTGAGGCCGGCCTAGCTGTTGTAATTTGTTCCACATACAAATCATTTGTCTAGGGGACTGGTAATGAGCGGTGTAATAGTCGTCTACGCATCCAGATTGGGAGAACTTCAAGCTGTGTACATATTGCACAGGTCTTGATGAACTATTAAATTTTTCGACCCACATTCCCATGCTGACATCCTCCATCTTGAACAACTGCACATCAAGGGAGCTCGTTAGCTATTTCATGAGTAATAACTTGGGGAAAGAGATGACATGGATTTTGTCTAACCTTTAGCTTATGTTTATTGAACTCTGAGACGATGAAGTTTGCAATGGCTGATGAAATAATGTAACCCGGTCCATTAGCATAAGGTGGATAATCTTCTTCTGGCCATTCCTGAGGAACCACCCGGGAACGAATATTAGATGAGAGAAACTCAGATATCGTGGGGTTCTAGAAGGCCGGAAACTGAGTGACTAAGATATTGAAAAGGCAAAAAACTAGACAACATCCAGAGATAATCCATGCAGATAACTAGCAATATTTACAATAGCCTTATTGTATTCCCCTAGAAAAGCAGATCTCTATCATAGCCTCGCCTATTCTAAGCATGTTCATCAGACACTATTAACGGGTAAATGAAAAGCCTCTTGTTTGACAATGAAGCATATGAAAATACTTTGCCAAAAGAAAACAGCACTATTAGGCCTGCTAGCCACATAGAGATTGGAGTAAGAATTTTTTAAAAGGAACTCCAAACTATTACCTCATATGTCACTGCCCATTTACCATTACGCAGGGGCTTATGATAGTAATTGATATTTCCAACATATAAGCTCCTATTCTCGGGTATCTTATTTATTTCCTTGATAACTGCATCCACTCTAACAAATGTATCATCATCACACTTCATGATATTTTTCGCAAATGCTACATGGACCTGCAACAAGAAAATATCAATATTGGGATGACGTTAATCTGGGACAACCAACAACAATGTTTATAGGTAATCCACAACTCACCCCATACTCGCAGATGGCAACTGTTTTCAAGACAACAAGATCATAATTGTCCATGAAAGGAACAATGACAATGTCACCAAAGAATTCTGCTTCTTTCTTCAACTCCACATTTATATCCTTCCTAGCGTGCTGTCAAAAAACCAATCCATCTTAAACTCAAATTATCAAGCTGTAACACCAATGTTAATAGGAAACGATATTCGCAAAATGATGTATATGCTACCATCTATCAACCTACCAATGCAACAAAGAATCGAGCCACAACATTCGAAGATTTGATTAGCTGATGCTGCAGCCAAGACCTCCTTATAGCCATTCGCTCAGCAAAGTGATTGCCTGCCGACAGAATGCCAATGAACAGATCCACAGGCTGATCAAGGAGGGGTGGTGCCTTCCATCTGTTTGACATATCAAGATGCCTTTGAGGAGCAAAACTAGGATGTGATGTGGGCAAGGAGGCAGCAAAGACTGAATCGACATCAATGTCACCATTCAAAGACAAACCAGTGGCATCCTCGAGCGCAAATCCCTAAAAAGCATCAATGATAAACTTCTTTAGTTCAATTCAATAATTCAGCATGAAATTGAAGAGGTGGTAGTATGATACTCACAATTCGATATGGAAATGAGGTCACATGCCTCCCATCAACGTTCACGTGATAACCCTCAAAACCGGCACTGAGAGTTAGAACAAATAACCTATCCTCTGAAAATGGGAATGGCCAATCAAAATCGACCTTCTTTTTTCGCCCTACTAGCCGGTTTAACCACCAAGATGCCTTTGATTGCTCAGAATGGTTGGTGTCATTATCTCGGATCCAGTTCTCACATTTTACCTGGCCATCAACTGCAAAAGATTCTAGACGTTACCAAAAATGCCGTAACACATACAAATAATAGATTACTGTGCCACAGACTACAAGAGATGGAGATGCAAATGTAACTGATGGGGCATTTTGCTTATTTTTTATTCCATCCAATTGCCAAGAAACCCATGTAGAAAAGGTATTCAAAATAATTGCAATCCCCAACTCATGAGAATAATCCGAGGAATCTACCCATCACGAAATAGAACCTATTCAAGCAATAAGCTCTATACTCAAACTTATTCAACTGCTTGATTATGCACTATAAAAACTTCTGCAGCATCCCCACCCACTACCAACCTCCCAACAAAAAAAAAATATACTACCTATATTTCAATTTGTTTATCCGGTTTGACTTAAAGAAGACTTTTCAATGTTGTGGTCTTAAACTAAAAATATGTAGACAACAACAACAACAACAACCCAGTGAAATCCCACTAGGTGGGGTTTGGGGAGGGTAAATAGTACGCAGACCTTGTCACTACCTCGTGGAGGTAGAGAGGCTGTTTCCAAGAGACCCTCAGCTCAAGAGCATCAAATCTAAGTGACAGGAGAGATATATGCAAACATAATAGCCAATACAAAAGATGGCGTATAATCAACAAATGAGACAATAACAAGAAAGATATAGGGAGTGAAACGCAGTAAACAGCATAAGGCTAGGACTGCTCCAAATGCTAACAACCCAAACCCTCGCAAGGGAAGACAACCCGCTAACCCTACTAACCTTCAACCTTAATACGCGACCTCCACTCCTTTCTATCTAGAGTCATGTCCTCGGTGATGTGAAGCATAGCCAAGTCTTGTCTAATCACCTCTTCCCAATACTTCTTGGGCCTACCTCTACCCCTCCGCGTACCCTCTACCACCATTACCTCGCACCTCCTCACTGGGGCGTCTGCACTCCGTCTCTTCACATGTCCAGACCATCTCAGTCTCGCTTCCCTCAGCTTGTCCACCACAGAGGCCACTCCCACCTTCTCCCGGATAACCTCATTCCTAATCTTGTCGCTCCTAGTGTGCCCACACATCCATCTCAACATCCTCATCTCCGCAACATGCATTTTATGAACATGTGCGTTCTTAACTGGCCAACACTCCGCTCCACTAAAAATATGTAGAATGTACCAAAAATGTGCTTTGATCTTGTGATCTTAAACATGTTCATGTGGAAAGTTAGAATTAAGGAGTTGCCAAAAAAGGAAAGAGGCATCCTTTTTTAGACAAACTAAAAAGGAAAGTAAGACGAACAAAACGAAACGGATGAAGTAAAAAGGAACCACCTTTTAACCTCAATTAGTAAATCAAATTTCTCCAGCTAACAAATCTTTTTAAGTTCAACTAATATTAAACATTTGACTTTTCTTAGCAACTCTGCCTATGTGAGTTTCACATTACTGGTCACAAGTACGGATAAAGGAGGAGGATTGCAGTAAGTTAACAGCTAAATGAATCTTCAAAGCATTTGAATATAAAGGATCATATAGGGACAGTCCAACTAGTTTGGGAATGCGCATAGTTGACCGATTAAACTAGTTCATTAAAAACAGAATAATTTCTTAACGACCAATAAAGTAACAAAAAGAACCAAAATTGATATTCTCACCAGTCTCCTCATCATCCCTGGACCTCCACCCATCACACCTTTGAGCCGTCCCCCACTGCATCCTATAACAAGTGTTCTGCTCAATCATCGGCTTCCCGCTCCAATCACCACTCAACCGTGGATTGAAGTGAAGAATCCTAGGTGGGTCCTCTCCATCAACAGTCTTCAGACCTTGTAACTCCATCATAAACTGTGAAACCATCAAGAATTGACCTTCCCTCAGCAATGATATCTTTGGATCATGCTCCTGATGAGCCCTTTTCGGCCTCCCCACAACAGTTATATGTGAACCAAGAGTAAGCCCACATGGCAACACCATCATTCTCCCTTTTCCCAAAAACTCAGACCCTGATATTGAAATGGAATGAGGAC